AAAAAACTGCCCATAATATCCATTGCATGCAGTCGTCTCTGGACTCCAGAGAGTTAGAGAACTGCCACCGTGCAGGGTTTCTTAGATGGATTGGAGACAGAGAAATGCAATGGTAGAAGTACAGCAGATTTCATTTTAATCATATAAACATTACGGGAAATGCACAGTATGTCCCTTTCGAATATCAAGCAAACAGCTCATTAGAGTAACAGAACGAATTCTGGGACGTATATCAGATCCCAGCACAGAAATCTTATCAACAAGGGGGGTTCAAAATAGCACAGGGAGAGCGCTTTTTTTTTTTTTTACTAAGTATATGTATATAAAAATCTTGCTAAAAATGTAGAAAACAAAGTTCATAGCTTTTAACTGCAATGCATCCTAAGGAAGAAATTAGTTAGCTAAGCAAGTGCATTATCTCAAGCTCAGCGTTGCCAGGACGATAACTTCAGAGACCCTGAATTAGTAGAGAAGGAACATGTTCTCCACCGGCAGTCTCAGAGAATTCCCAGTGCAACTCCTCGGGGCTAACCCTTGGGGATCTGAAATGTTTGACTTAGAGGCATATCTTCTTTAAGATACAGAGGTTTTGCACGAAAATAGCCCTGCAATTAGAACTTGCGGATCTACTTAGATAGGCTGTTTTTCCTTCTCATTCATGGATTAGAATGCCACTCCACGTAGAGAGAAAGATGGAGAGGGAGAGGGAGAGGAGATGGAGATGGAGAAGGAAATGGAAAGATGGAGATGAGATGGAGATGGAGAAGGCAATGGAAGAAAGATGGAGATGATATGGAGAAGGAGAAGGAAATGGAAAGATGGAGTTGAGATGGAGAAGGAGAAGGAAATGGAAAGATGGAGATGAGATGGAGAAGGAGAAGGAAATGGAAAGATGGAGATAGAGATGGAGAAGATGATGGAAAGATGGAGATGATATGAAGATGGAGAAGGAAATGAAAGATGGAGATGATATGAAGATGGAGAAGGAAATGGAAAAGATGGAGATGAGATGGAGATGGGAAGGAAATGAAATGGAAAGATGGAGTTGAGTTGGAGATGGAGAAGGAAATGGAAAGATAGAGAAGAAAATGGAAAGATGGAGATGAAGAGATGAAGATGAGATGAGATGAGATTGAGATGAGATGAGATGAGATGAGATGAGATGAGATGAGATGAGATGGAAATGAAGATGGACATGGAGATAGGAGATGGAGAAAGAAATATACACACAAACACAAACATGGGCAACTTTCCATGAAGAAAACTGCTATAATAACTAAACTAGACTCTTTCTTAATACGTTACCTTTCAATTGCCTGGTCCAAATGGATCCTTTGCTCATCTTCATATTTATGTCTTCAAGTCAAACTGCTTATAAAAACATCTCCCAACAGCACCAACTGAGAGAAGTGACCAAAACCTGAGCTTGGAACCAAGAGTTCAGAAACCATAAAACCCAACTTTGAAATCAGTCCTGAGCTTTTACATATAAAAAGTCCAGAACATCTGTGCAGGCTTGTTTTAAATGTGGGATAAAATAAGTAAACCATCTTGTGAATCTAGTGACAAACCTAGGACCTCAAACCCAGTGACAAATGGACATGAGTAGACCCAAGATAGCAACTGTTTGGCATTGTCTTCTGGTGGTTTTTTTTTTAAAAAAACCTTTTCAGTCTACCCAAAAGAAATTCCAATTACGTTTTCAAGTCAAGGGTGGTGAACTGGGCAGGGGAAGCAGTGAGCTGTAGCTTTGGCTTCTACTCGGTTTCTCAAGAGACAACTATCAACAAGACTGGCTTAGCAGGAAGCCCAAAAATCTATGCAATCCTGATGGTTTCTTTTTAAGCAAGGAAGGAACCAGAGAAAAGATTTGCACTTAGTCTGGAGGCTAGAAAAGCTAAGGAAGAAAATGGATATTGAAGATTTATAATTTGATTGAAAGAATGTAGGTGTTACTATATTTTTCGGACTATAAGACCCACTGGACTATAAGATGCACCTAAATTTACAGGAGGAAAACAAGAAAAAAATAGTTTTTGGCCTCCCCGTTTCTGATTTTCACCCTTCCAGGCAGTGCTCTGCACGGCCTATTTTTGGTAAAAAACGGACCTGTTTTTGATTAAAATGGGCCATGTGGAGCATTGCAGAGTGCTTCTATAGGCCAGGGAGAGCAAAATGCAACACGTGGAGGACTTGGGAGGTGTTGTGGCCTGTCAGCAGCCTGTGCGGATTGTAGCTGATTCTGACAGCGAGGAGGCTGGTGTGGTGCTGCGCCAGCAGCCTGTACAGCTGGCAGCCAAGTCAGACAATGAGGAGGCTGGAGAAGATGTGGTGCCACTCGATGCACGGGCTCACAGAGCTGCCAAAAGGCAGGAGTGTTTCCTCAGGAGGAGGTCTCCCCGAGAGTAAGGCTTGGGGCTAATTGGCCACACCATTAGCCTATTTAAGGAGGAACGCCAACTGAAGCAATTTGCAGGGAACAACTTTAGTTCACTCTACTTCGCGTCTGGATTCTCTGCACATTGCTTCTGGGCTTTCTGCCAACCTTCGTAAGATTGTGATTACTTTATCTTTGGTTTCTTGTAGGCTGTTAAGAAAGTTTATTAACAGCCTTTGTTTTGAAAAAGACTGAGTTATTTTAGTAAATTAAGTTTTGTACAAATTTTGTGTGTGCTGTGTTCTTTGGGATCCATAGCTGGGGCAGAACAGGAGGCCAAAAATGCTTGTATTTGGTTTATAAGACGCACCTAAATTTTCACCCACTTTTAGGGGGGGAAAGGTGAGTTTTATACTCTGAAAAATACGGTACCTTTCACAAAATAGATTTATCATAAATGTAGTTTTATCCCACATAACTTTGGGCTGTCATCTTGAAGTATGTCATGAATACCATGGAGAAATGAGAAGATAGGGCAGAATTCTTCAAAGCTCTTCCAAAAGATGGAAGATTTTTGGGGGGAAACCCTAAAAATGAGAGCTGTTTAGTAATGGATCAGACTGCTACTTCACTGGAATTGTCCATTTCTTGCATGGGACGGGGTGGGGTGTGTGTGCTAGACTAGGAGATGTCCCAAATCCTTTCCAACTTTTCAGTCAACGAATATATGAAATGTAGCCTATAAAAGAGTGCTAATTCTCTCTTGGCCAAACAAAACAAAATAGCAATAGTTTGCACATTGAATTGAGCTTTCTATCTATAGTTCAAAATGTGCCCAGCACTTTTCTATTAAAGGGAATGACCTTCATCGACTGCCGATATTGATCAGTTACTTAGAGATCCACCTGATATTCCGACTGGATTCATCGAGGTCAACCATTCTGGACTTCTTTTCATGCCAATTGACATGAATTCTCCTGAATGGCATAGAGATATATTTTATATATCTACCGAGATCCATTTTTTGTTTTTAGAATAGAATAGAATAGAATTCTTTATTGGCCAAGTGTGATTGGACACACAAGGAATTTGTCTTTGGTGCTTATGCTCTCAGTGTACATAAGGAGAATAAAATACATTCATCAAGAATAAAAAGATACAACACTTAGTGACAGTCAAGTAAGAGCAGGAAGCCTTTTCATCTCTTGTCTTTCAAACTATGATGATCAGTGGAGGGGAGGATGAAACATCAAGAGAGCAAGGAAAAGGTGACTCATGTTGGGACAATTTTAATAGGCAAGGAAAAACTCACACTGTGTTGAAAGTACAGAATCCAGGAGCCACTTTGGATGGAGACCAAGGACAAGAGGATGTTTCCAAAAACCTCATCATTCAAAAGTGTCATCAAGTAGACTTCAACATCCTGAATTACATGGTGTTATTTGAGATGTATGTAGACAGGTTGGAAGAGACCCAAAACACAGCAATGTTGTTGAATGAAAAGCAACGTGTTAAAACACAGAGAAACATCAGTTTCCATGTTTCTCATAGCCACATAATTGGGTCTAGGACAATTCGCCATGGCCAACTTATCACAGCCAACTCACCATGGCCAACTTGCCACAGCCAAATTACCACAGCCAAATCATCATGGTCAACTTGCCATGGCCAAGTAGCCATGGCCAACTTTTCACAGCCAACTTGACCATGGTCAACTTGCCATGGCCCACTTGCCACGACCAACTCACCATCCCAACTAGCCATGGCCAACTTGACATGGCCAGCTCATTAGGGGACAACTCACAAATGTCAAAGAAAGGACAGAATTGAATCATTAAGGAAAGGATGCAAAAGAAGGGACAAACTGAAATGTGAATGCCAAAATTAAAATAATGTCAAAGAAACAGCGGTGTTGAGTTATCCTATGTTGAATTGTCCCACGCGAGTTGTCTTGTGGCAAGTTAACCGCAACAAGTCGTCCCATAGTGAGTTGGCCATGGGAAGTTGTCTCCCATTCCGCACACAATCAATTTCCTTGGACTTGTAGAAATACAAAGATTGATTTGATGGGAAGACAACACTGGGATTTATGCCGCATAACTCTCTTTTATACCAAGCTTCCCTTTTGTACCAAGTCATTCCATGGTTAACCTGCAAGAAATTCCTCTGCAGATGTCAAGGGCTGACAGTTGTATTTTCTTCCCATGAGTTACGGCTGCCTCCCTAAGATAGACTTTCTAACCACGAGGAGACATTTAATCTGTCAGAAGCTCCACATTTTCACAAAGCGTCCTATATCCTTCTTTCTGCCTGGCAGAGAGGGGAATTAAACATAAAAATAAAATACCAGAAGAGACAAATGAACATTCAAAGGTCCATGGTCACCTGGCTTCTTTTGGAGGAATATTATCTTCTAGGAGATTTGGAGGGGTCAATAATTCAGTAGAAAAAAACAACAGAAGGGATCAATTTCTATGAGTGTCTCTTCCACGCCAAGAGATGGGGGTGGCGGCAGATGACAATGGCAAAAACTCTGAACAATGAGACCCACTCCAATCAATCTCCTTTAAATCCCGGCACGCAGACAGAAGCACAATGTTCTAACTTAGTGTCCTTATCTTACCTTCTTATGACCTGAAAATCCCATCTGTCTTGAGAGAAGTGCTTCATCCCTTCGCTGTCATTCCCCACTTCCTCCTTCACAACCTCCTCCGGTTAACAAGGCTGCCACTTCTGAATCTGGAGGCTCTCCATCATCTTTTCTTTTCGACTTCTCCAGCAGGATGCAATGAAAGTTCAGATCTGAGACAGACACAGGGTTGTTGAATATACATCAAAGGCACCCAGGAGTTTCCTATCTGCTATCTGCCTGCCTGCCTGCTTTCTCTCCTTCCTTCCTTCCTTCCTTCCTTCCTTCCTTCCTTCTTCCTTCCTGCCTTCCTGCCTTCCTTCCTTCCTGCCTTCCTGCCTTCCTGCCTTCCTGCCTTCCTCCCTGCCTTCCTGCCTTCCCCTCCCTGCCTCCCTCCCACTTACCTTCCTTCCTTCCTCCCTCCCTCCCTTCTTCCTTCCTGCCTCCCTCTCCCTCTCTCCCACCCTTCCTTCCTGCCTGCCTGCCTTTCTCTATCCCTCCCTTCTTCCTTCCTGCCTCCCTCTCCCTCCCTCCCTCTCTCCCTTCCTGCCTTCCTGCCTCCCATCTTCCTTCCTTACTCCCTCCCTCCTTCCTTCCTTCCTGCCTTCCTGCCTTCCTCCATCCCTCCATCCCTCCCTTCTTCCTTCCTGCCTCCCTCTCCCTCCCTCCCTCTCTCCCTTCCTGCCTTCCTGCCTCCCATCTTCTTCCTTCCTCCCTCCCTTCCTTCCTTCCTTCTGCCTTCCTGCCTTCCTCATCCCTCCCTTCTTTCTTCCTGCCTCCCTTCCCTCCCTCCTGCCTCCTTCCTTCCTTCCTTCCTTCCTTCCTTCCTTCCTTCCTTCCTTCCTTCCTTCCTTCCTTCCTTCCAAATCTTTAGTCACTGAGCTGAAAATAGATACAGAATTTTCATTCTGTCCTATCCCTACCAAAAGTATAGGTATTCTCCTTTTCTCCACCCCCCATTCTCTCCCTCCTTCCCCCTTCCTTTTTGCCTTCCTGCCTTCCTCAATCCCTCCCTTTTTCCTTCCTTCCTTCCTTCCTGCCTCCCTCTCCCTCCCTCCCTCCCTCCCTTCCAAATCTCTAGTCACTGAGCTGAAAATATCCCTACCAAAAGTACAGATATTCTCCCTTTCTTCACCCACCCCCACTCTCTTTCTCTCTCCCCTCCCTCCTTCACCCCCCCCCCCCCACACACTTCTGCCTTGCTCTTATTTGTTATATTTATATTTCATCTTTCTGTCTCTAATGCTCAGGAGAGCTGAAGATGAAATACAATAAACATGAATGTAACAAAACACCGAAACAAAAGATCAATATTACAATAAACCTAATAAGAAAGACTCGCTAAAAGCAATTATAAAAATCAACAAAGAGCAATTAAAAAAAAAAAAAAAGATAAGGCAGACAGTTAGAAAAATACATTCAGTTCCAGATCAGTAGAGCAAAGCAACTTAGTTCAATAAACCAAATTCATTTTTATTTTATTTTTCCTCTCTCATTTAAATCATAACTGATTGGTAACTGATATTATGAAGCTGGGCTTTTAAAAGAACTGCAAAGCTTCAGCCAAGGAGAATCTTTTTGGAGTTTTTCACATCAGATATTGTTGGCCCAAATGGAAGTTCCTTCTGATGCCATCAATGAAGCTGGTTAAGGCATTCCTCAGGAGGGAGGGAGGGAGGGTAGGAGGAAGGAATGGAGAAAAAAAGAGATAAGGAAATAAAGGAGGAAAGAAGGAAGGAAGGAGAGGAGGGGAGGGACAGAGGAAAAAGAGAAGGAAGTAAAGGAGGAGGAAGGAAGGAGAGGAAGGAGGGAGGGAGGAAGGAAAAAGAAGGAAGTAAAAGGAGAACGAAGGAAGGGGAGGAGGGAGGGAGGAAGGAAAGAGAGAAGGAAGGAGGAAGAAGGAAGGAAGGAAGGAAGGAAGGAAGGAAGGAAGGAGAGTAGGAAGGACGGACAGAGGAAAAGAGAAGGAAGTAAAAGGAGGAGGGAGGGAGGAGGGACAGAGGAAAAGAGAAGGAAATAAAGGAGGAAAGAAGGAAGGAAGGAGAGGAGGGAGGGAGGGACAGAGGAAAAAGAGAAGGAAGTAAAAGGAGAAGGAAGGAAGGAGGAAGGAGGGAGGGAGGAAGGAAAAAGAAGGAAGTAAAAGGAGAACGAAGGAAGGGGAGGAGGGAGGAGGAAGGAAAGAGAGAAGGAAGGAAGAGAAAGGAAGGAAAGAAGGAAGGAGAGTAGGGAAGGACGGACAGAGGAAAAGAGAAGGAAGTAAAAGGAGGAGGGAGGGAGGGAGGACAGAGGAAAAAGAGAAGGAAGTAAAAGAGAAGGAGAAGGAAGGAAGGAGAGGAAGGAGGGAGGGAGGAAGGAAAAGAAGGAAGTAAAAGGAGAATGAAGGAAGGGGAGGAGGGAGGGAGGAAGGAAAGAGAGAAGGAAGGAAGGAAGGAAGGAAGGAAGGAGAGTAGGGAAGGACGGACAGAGGAAAAGAGAAGGAAGTAAAAGGTGAAGGGAGGGAGGGAGGGACAGAGGAAAAAGAGAAGGAGAGAAAGGAGAAGGAAGGAAGGAAGGAAGGGGAGGAGGGAGGGAGGAAGGAAAGAGAGAAGGAAGGAAGGAAGGAAAGGAGAGAGGGAGGGACAGAGGAAAAAGATTAGGGAGTAAAAGGTGAAGGAAGAAAGGAAGGAAGGAAGGAAGGGGAGGAGGGGGGAGGAAAGAAGAGAGAAGGAAGGAAGACATTTAGATTCACATTTGGTACTCCCCCTTTGAGAGCAAAGGCGTTGTGTTTATTTACTCGAGCAACATATTCTGGAATTCCAATCCTGTCTAAAAAGATTCTGGCGTTTGACTGAGGACCCTTTACAGGAAGAGAAGGAACTCTGCCATTACAGAAATGAACATTTTCCTCTTCCGACCTCACTGGACCTTTTTTCTCTGTGCCACTTTCTTAACCCACTTCTCGTCCCCTTCCTTAGCCACCCACACGGAGCCCACTGTGGAAATACTTTATAAAAGAACCATCACACAATGTTCTCCTTTAATTGGTCCGCTGATGGCTCTTTAACCATTGGGGAATTTTTCATTAAAATTGTGCGAGACTGGAGAGAGAGAGAGAGAAAAAAAAAAACCACCATAAATTGAGTCTTCCAAAAAAAAAAAAAATCCAATTTCTGCCTCCATTCACTGAGCTTATGGGCCTAATTAGAGATTTATTAAACTTTCTCACTTCTGCGTGAAAATGGTCTCATATGTTCCGGGATGCATTTGGGAGCATTTTGTCTTTTGAAGAAGCAGCAGTTATAAAGAGAGAGAGACAGAGACAGAGACAGAGAGAGACAGAGAGAGAGACAGAGAGAGAGAGAGAGAGAGACAGAGACAGAGAGAGACAGAGACAGAGAGAGACAGAGAGAGAGAGAGAGAGAGAGAGAGAGAGACAGAGACAGAGAGAGACAGAGACAGAGAGAGACGAGAGAGAGAGAGAGGAGAGAGAGAGAGAGAGAGACAGAGAGAGAGAGAGAGAGAGAGAGACAGAGACAGAGACAGAGAGAGACAGAGAGAGAGAGAAGAGAGAGAGAAGAGAGAGAGAGACAGAGACAGAGACAGAGAGAGAGAGAGAGAGACAGAGAGAGAGAGAGAGAGAGACAGAGAGAGAGAGAGAGAGGAGAGAGACAGAGAGAGAGAGAGAGAGAGAGAGAGAGAGGAGAGAGAGAGACAGAGAGAGAGAGACAGAGAGAGAGACAGAGAGAGACAGAGAGAGACAGAGAGAGAGAGAGACAGGGAGAGAGAGAGATAGAGAGAGAGAGGGAGGGAGAGAGACAGAGAGAGACAGAGAGAGAGACAGGGAGACAGAGAGAGAGGGGGGAGGGAGAGAGAGAGAGAGAGAGAGAGAGGGAGGGAGAGGGAGAGAGAGAGAGATTTCTCTATTATCCCCAAACTCAACTTATCCTATCTGGGATTCCGTTTCTCTTTCGATTGACTTCACCTACATTAGTCCCAAGACTAATTTAGTTTAGAGAAGGAGGAATCCGATTCGGATGTGGATTGAATTGCTCTTTGCTTTTTCATTTTAATATTCTGCTAGAGAAAAGTCTCCCTTCATTCAAGCGTGGCTCTTGGTGTCCCAAAGGTGCTTTTTCAAAAGGCAACTGGACTTCCTTTTGTTTTTCTATGAAGACGTTTCGCTTCTCATCCAAGAAGCTTCTTCGGTTCTATTTTCTTTTTTTTTTTCCTTGAAGACATTTCGCTTCTTATCCTAGAAGTTTCTTCGGTTCTATGTTTTTCCTTGAAGACATTTTGTTTCTCATCCAAGAAGTTTCTTCAGTATTTTCTTTGTTTTTCCTTAAAGATGTTTCACTTCTCATCCAAGAAGTTTCTTCGGTTCTGTTTTCTTTGTTTTTCCTTGAAGATGTTTCGCTTCTCATCCAAGAAGTTTCTTCGGTTCTATGTTTTTCCTTGAAGACATTTTGTTTCTCATCCAAGAAGTTTCTTCAGTATTTTCTTTGTTTTTCCTTAAAGATGTTTCACTTCTCATCCAAGAAGTTTCTTCGGTTCTGTTTTCTTTGTTTTTCCTTGAAGATGTTTCGCTTCTCATCCAAGAAGCTTCTTCGGTTCTATGTTTTTCCTTGAAGACATTTTGTTTCTCATCCAAGAAGTTTCTTCAGTATTTTCTTTGTTTTTCCTTGAAGACGTTTCGCTTCTCATCCAAGAAGTTTCTTTGGTTCTATTTTCTTCTTTTTTCCTTGAAGGCGTTTTGCTTCTCATCCAAGAGGTTTCTTTGGTTCTGCTGAAGAACCAAAGAAGCTTCTTGGATGAGAAGTGAAACGCCTTCAAGGAAAAACAAAGAAAGCCCAGTTGCCTTTTGAAAAAGCACCTTGGGGGGACAACCATGACCTGGATAATTGAAAATCTCCATAGATTTTACATTGATAAAGACAATTTTACACCATCCAATATCCACAAAAAATAATAGGGTGTTTTTCCCCTCTAATGAAACTGCAGAAGATGGCAGTCTTAGAAGTCTGTTTAGTTTTTGTTTTACTTTTTTTAAAAATATATATATATTATTAGTCTTGTCATGCTCTGTAGCTAATACTGTTATAGTTCCTGCCCATTAAACTACAACTGATGTTACCTCCTGAGGAATTTCTGCCCTCTCATTAAAGAGCTGCTCGTCAACTCTTTTAATGAACAAAAATAGTGACTCTGCAGTGGCCTGAGTTTGTGGCAAAGATGAATGTCGATAATTAAGGCATTCCGTGCATTATATATGAAATTAAGCAAACAAGGATTATCTGTCCGCGTGAAGTAAACAAGTATTTAATCATCTGACATGCATGCTCCTACGTGGGGCTTTTAAAACAATTGCATATTTCCTGTATTATCTTTAAATTACATTCTGGTGCAGAATTTTTGGGCTGAGGGCCTCCAAAATGCATTGTTTATTTTATCCTCTTATGAGAGTTGACGTCCAACATATCGGGAGTACATGAGATTGGACTACAACTGTTCTAGGACAACTCCTTCTCTTCCTCTTCTTCTTCTCTTCTTTCTCTTCCTCCTCCTCTCCCTCGCCCTCCTCCTCCTCTCTCTCCCTCTCCTTCCTTCTTCTCCTTTTCCTCCTCTTCCTCCTTTTTCTTCTCTTCCTCCTCCTCCTCTTCCTCCTCTTCTCTCTCCTCCTTCCCTTTCCTTTCCTCTACCTTCTTCTCCTTCTCCTCCTCTTCTCCTTTTCCTTCTCCTCCTCCTCCTCTCTCTCCTTCTCCCCTTCCTCCTCCTCTCCTTCTCCTTCTCCTCTTCGTCCTCCTCCTCCCCTCCTCTCCCTCTTCCTTCCCTGTCCTCCTCCTCCTCTCTTCCTTCTCCTTCCTTCTCCTTCTTTCCTCCTCCTCCTTCTCTTCTCCTTCTGTTATTCAACCAACATGAAACTGAAATCCAAGGTACTATCAACTCACAGAAGAAACATTAATCAACACAGGTGAAGAATCTTCCTCTCAGTTCTCATTTTCACCTT